TTGTCAAGGATGAATTCTCAGGTTTGTTGTAGCCTTAGCTATTTGTAAATTAAAAAAACCCTTTATGTGTACAAAAAACAATTTGTCATAACTTTGAATTTATCTTGGTAATCCTTAAGTCATTCTATGGTCTAGTATAACGTGACAATTTCTTATTATTTCCATACGATCTAAAATTGTTTCTCTCCCCTTTGTTACTGTTTTTACTTGAACTTTCATTTAATTGACGTTTATTAATTTTCATATAAAAATGCCCTGACAAGTATATGTATGACCAGATTGTTAGAAATGTATAGCACAAATACATCACATTTTTTAGATTAACTCCGTTTTCTCATTGTTCCATAGAAATTTATAATAGGGACTAATTAATTTAAGTAGAAATTTTAAACGATGAAAGATTTATTTAATTCAAAAGAGCAACAGCATCTAATTAGGCATAAACGTCATAATGATATTCGACGTTTTTCAGTTTCGTTGTATTATACGATAACAAGAACAAGACAGTATAAACAGTAAAAATTATTTAAAACAATATTTCATTCTTTATACGAATATTCACTAATATTAAAACAAGTAGTTTGACAAAAGTTAAGTGCCGACTATGGAGAAGTTATTATATATCATATTTGAAATAATCTCAGCAATTGAAATTTAAATAACATCAATGTTTTGTCCATCAAACTTGCTTAAACTTCTTCAAGATTCAAACAAGTTTCCTGGACGAAACGTCAGAATTATTTGAATTTGAATTTCTGAGATTATTTCATATATAATTTTCACATAAAATATCTCATTCGATCTTTCAATATCCTTTACTGAACCAATAGAATACATAGTGTGCTGCATATCTACTAAACCATTGCTTATTATAACTATATTCTTATTTGAAAAGAAGGTAAGCAAATAAAACAAATTTAAAACAGAATAAAATAAACATTCGTATTTTTCATTGTTTAATACTAATGGACTTAATACTCTATTGAATAATTTAAGTATAAACATTGTAAGAACCATATACGAACTTCTGGGTAATAAGTCACATTAAAATAAAATTATCATTTATAGTAAATAAAGTAAAACAATCGTGTGAAACTTATAGTTTATCTCATTTTATAAAATGACAAAATGATCATACTTATATAAAATGAATCAAGAGATTCACAGAATCTCATACAACATTTTATGTGACAACGTAGAAACAAACACAGAAAACTTGATGTGTTTTTCGTTATTGTTGTTGTTGTTATTGTTATTGTATAAATGCCTACAGAGATGATATATACCTTGCCAAAATTTATTATGATAGTTGTAAGTGTATATGTATATATTTAATTGATATAATTTCACCTTTATAAATTAATTGTGTATTGCCTTATTTGTATATATGTATAAATAAGATTGGGGGTTTTTTTTCCTCTTATCTATTATTATTTTTTACCTATTTGATTTCTTGGGAAATTTAATAAGAATCCATGTTCAGTTATAAATTGAAATGTCAATAATTTGTAAAAGTCATACTAATCTTATACTTATTTCTAATGATTTTTCTTCTATATTTGGTATCTTAGTTGTTATTGTTAGTACTCCTAGTATTAGTCGTAGTAGTAGTAGTAGTATTGTTATAATTACTATTATTCTATGAATAGTAATCATATAGTTATGTTTTAATAACTCAAACCCACTAACATACACACGCACACACACATAAATTTATATAATTCAATAATATATATATATATATATATATATATATATATATATATATATATATATATATATATATGTTATAGTTCCACGATGGAATTATTCTAATCAGAAAAAATAAAAAATCACAATCACAAGTGACATTGGCATGATTAATTTACTTGCGTCTCTGAAGTTATTGCTGTTATTGTTATTATTATTATTATTGTTATCGTTATCACTGTAGTTCACCTGTGTTCAGGTAGTTTTCACGCTACCTAAAATCACTGTAAATTATCAAAAATTATACACATTCATATTAGCATATTATTATTATTATTGAGGGTGGTTATAATTTTGTTTACAGTGAAGTATTTATTATGTTTATGAATGTAAAATGTCTTGCTTATCAAAAGAGAAAAGAAATAAGTAAGAGAAAATGAAAGTAAATTTTTCTCTCTCCTTTTTATACTACAAACTAATGGAAAACATCTCACTAACTCATACTTGACAATCTTTATATATATATATATATATATATATATATATATATATATATATATATATATATATATATATATATATATATAAAGAAAATGTATACAAGTCATAGTAATTACAGACATAACTACAATACAATGTGTTCTATGAAATTTTTAGATGATCAAAATTATTTTATGAATACACTATAAACTTACTTTTGATTGTCTTCCATGATTCCAGAATTTTTTTTCTTTCTTTCTTTCATAGAAATAGAAATATATTTTGGTTTGTATTATCGGTAACTTATTGGGTCAAGTCAATACAGTATTAAAGATAAATGTATACAGAATAATCATTGATATTATAAAATAGAATAATTGTTTGGATACAAATCTCATCAACGAAAATAAAGAAGAAAAAAAAAGTAATTTATAAATTATACAGGGAAATAGAGAAAAGCAACTACATGATTATTATCATTATTATTAATTTCAACGTGGTAAATTAGGAATAGAAAATATTTTTTTTCAATTCTACATTTGAATTTAAATGTATAATGCCTACTAAGTGTCCTAAAACAATCTCTATATATAACAGATAATTTGTATTTATTCATGATTATATGAATGTATAGTGTAAATCAAATACTACAAAGGTATTTCTAACAAAAGTTTATTTCAATTCATACATATATATAATCATTTCATCTGTTTATATTTTGTTTCATGCAGACTGTTTACGTTCAAGAGCGGTATGTTATAATTTATGAATGATACTTAATTGTATCTATCGTGTTTCAATGTCAAAGACCGACAAAGTAACGTCTGCAATTACATATATACATATATATATATATATATATATATATATATATATATATATATATATAATATATTTATGTGCGGTTAATTGGTTATATCATATATACTTTACAGAAACTAGTAATGTACTAACACAGTATGGGAAGTATGCGAAAACGTAGAATTATTCGATAGGCTATATTTTACACTGGTATAAATTAGGAATTTTTCTTTATAATTTGGTTAAAATATAACATATTAATTAACTATAAAAAAAACCTAACATTGTGGTATATTTTTATTTTGTTTTATTCATTTAAACAAAGCTTATAATAACCAAAAATAGGTCCTACTGACTACAATATACTTCACATTTTCTTATCATTATTTATTATCAATATCAAAGTGCATGATATGGGAGTTCAAATTGTTAATTATAAAATTATTATTATTACATTTTTAGTGATATTGGTTACTATATAATCTTAGAAGTTATTTTTCTTAAGTATTTTCAAATAATCAGTTTTAATAATTTATCAGTAAGTGGGTTTTGTGGAGATTATAGTAAGTTAATAGTTGAATTCATGGGTCGATTAAAGCTAGACCACCATAGATGCGTACTATTGAAGAGTTCCATACTAGAATGAAACAGTTATCCAATGTTTTCAGGTTTTATATGGTCGTTTAGCTATAATTGACCAATGAGTTCAACTGTTAAACTTGATAATTTAGACAAATGTTCCACCGAATGATGATATTGTCATCTACGATGACATAAAGGGGTTCAACGAAATAAACTTACTCAACATAGCATTGATGAGAGACAGCTTCTACTAAAAATAAGTTTACCAGCACATGTTCACATACTATATTTCAACAATGAGAAACAGCAGTGGATGTCACTAAACTTTTACATAGTTAGAGAAATGAACGTGATATTTTGCCTCAGATGACAAGAGCTTTACTACTGAAATGTTCAAGATATCAGATTTATGCCAAAACAAGTAGAATCTAAAGATAATGAGAACTTAGAATAAGGTGCATATTCTCATTACGAAGATGTATATAGTCTTAAAGAAATAATGGTTTTGAAACGAATATCAATTAATTTGCATTTATCTTCTTTCATAAATTAGATATCTCATTATTGTTATGCCGGGAAAAAAGACTTTTACTGTACTCTGGAGTTTTGATTTCCACAATAGTAGTATGTATAATGAATGACTGACAAAAAGAAATGTATTAACAAATTGAAAATAATTGAGCTAATATAATGGAAAAGGTTTATCCGCTTTATCCCTTACATATTATTATTTAAAGAAACAAACGAACAAAACATAATCCCTAATATTTTCATTTATTTTTCATGCGACATTTCTATGCCATGAATTCAAAATAAAATGAATTATGAATTAAAGTTTTGCAGCTTATAGGATTCGTACAATCTAATTCTTTATTTCGATTATAGAATAAATATCAGAAGGGGTTTTATGGAGATTGTAGTAATTTCAATAATTAAGATCATAAGTCAATTGAAGCTAGATGTATCGCTCAGTTTCATGGATTAGTTGAAGCTAGACATTAACACTGTTCAATGCCGGCCAGCTCAATAGTCTAATGGTCAAGCGCTTGCGCGCGGAACCGATAGGTCCCGGTTTCGATGCCTGCAAGGCGGGGTCGTAGATGTGCACTGCTGAGGAATTCCACAACGGGACGAAACAACCATCCAATGCTTCTAGGTCTAGTTTCAACTGACTCATGATCTCAATCATACAATAAGTAGTTCATCAACTTCACAATTGAAGAAACACAACAACCCAATTATTATATGAACAAATGAAAAAGAACTAAACGTCAGAGAGAAAAAATCAACTTATATTTTAAATCATTATAAATTAATTATCTTTTGTCAAAATGTTTCACAGCATAAAATTATCCTGAACTGTTTTTTTTTTTTTGATTAGATCTTATCTATTACTGTACAGTAATATAATCAATACAAGAACTTTGATTATTGTTTATATATAACTATTAGTTTTCATTATGTAATTTATTTTCATTTTCTGGTGATTTAGCTAAATTATAAGCAGAAAATGGATGTGATATCATTGTATTTGATTTCATTGTTTTCTTATAAGATAATTCTAATTTTGGTTTTTTCATTATAGGCATATTAGAATCAGATTGTTTGAATTTATTATTCTTTTCTATACAATAAGAAATTGAAGATAAATGATCATTTGAATTCAATTTTAAATTTATTGGAATTTTTTGATAATCCAAAAATTCAGGATTGATTTCATTGTTAAATTTTCTAAAGAAAAATAAAAAAAAGATCAGTATATCAGAAAGAATTGAAGATTTTAGTAAATCTTAATAAAGTAAGAATAATAATTGATATATGATATGACAGTTTCATTATATTCAGTGAATTCTCTTTATCTTAGTACAAATTTTAATTATAAAGAACATCAGTTGGTTGAACATAGGTATAATGTAGGACAAAAAAGACAAATTAAATCCGTTCAGTGCTTTCAGGCTTTCAATGGATGTAACACATCAATTGATTCATGATCTCAATCAATAACTTAACAATCTTTACAATCCTATACTGATAATAATCAATAAGTGCTTGCTAGTGACTGACTCCAAGATGATTTCCTGAAGTTCTAGTGAGAAGTCGTGACCAGTGAAGTCCAATCTGTGTCTGGTAGAGACAGGTATCTATGTCAGACAGTGGATGAATGGTTACGTAGCCATTCATGGATTGATAGAATTTAGACATTAAGACCGTTGGATGTCGGTCAGTAGTCTAGAAGTTAAGCATTCGAGCGCAAGACTAAAAGCCTTAGATTCGAATCCCGCATGCGAGATTGTGGATCAACACTGCTAAGGAGTCCCATACTAGAATGAAACGGTCGTTCTGTGCTCCTAGGTTTTCAATGGTGGTTTATCATCAATCGATTCATAATCTCAATCAAAAAAATTAACATTTAACAAACAATCGAAGTTTCCAGTAAATCTAAATAAAGTAAGAAAAATAACTGATATATGATATGACAGTTTCATTATATTGAGTGAATTCTCTTTATTTTAATACAAATTTTATTTGTAGAGAACATCGGTCGGGTGAAACAGGTACAATGTTGGACAAATAGACAAGATAAGGCGTTTGGGTAGTAGTTGTAGAACAGAAATTTTAATAATTAAATAAATAAAAATAAAATGGAAATCCAAAGACTATTTTGAAACAGACTAAACAATAAATGATTGAGGGGAAACAGTATTATATAATAATTATAACTGAATGGATGATAACTAAAAATTTGAATATATAACGGGATCGATTAATCAACAACTGTTTCCTCATGAATGTATACAATGGATTCGAGCCTTTTAAATCAATTCGCTTCACTTAAATATAAAGTTCAGTTAACGAAATATTTCACTATTTAATAAAACTATCTTTTCATTGGTATCAATTTATTATGACAGAATAATTTGCTGACAGAAGAAATTACTGAATTCAACAGTTTTTACATGCCATCCAAGTATTACATTTACACCATAATTATTTGTTGTATTTGTTTCGGTGAGACTATAATTTATGTGTGACCTTTGAGCGACGCTAAAGTAACGTTGAGGATGCCTACTATCTAGGACTGAATGAGGGTTATGAACCAGTGTAAGGAACCAGAATTATGATATACAATTGATAGTTAGGGCTAGGAATCATATTTAGTGTTTTCACCAAGAACTGACATAAGATAAAATGCCAAATTGTATTTAGCCAAATTTATGAATGAATTTCGCGCTAAAATCCAAGACTCACTATCATATATCTGATTGGCTCGTCCATAAGTTATAGTCTTTCCTTTACTTCCTTTAGTATATAAAATACTTGGATTGGTATCAGACCAGATTATGCACATTTATGCATGTTAAAATTGTTTAATTTGATGGGAAGACAAATGGATATTGGAAAAAGTTTAAAATGAATACTATTTGCATAACCTTCATTACTTTTAATGCTGCAGAACAAAAGGGAGTTTCTTCAGATGTTAATATTATTCACTCTCTATAAATTTGAAGTTATTGGTACTTGACAAATTTTTCAATGTTTAAATAAAAAGAAAAATATGTTACTTTTAATCCTTAAAGAAAAGCTGTTAAACAGTCCTATGCGTACACTGTATTTATTTCTGAACGACGATAGATTCTATTATGATCTATCATTGTACCTTAAAATCTCTACATACGTTAACTCAGTTACGCAAATTTTTTAGCCGTCTTTGAGCTCGTTTTCAGCATGAATTTTAATGGTATGTTGTTGCTTTGATGTCAACTTAGCATTTTCAGTCGTGTGTTTTGTCTGTTAGACTAAATGACTAATCTTTAAAAGTAAAACTATCACAGGAACATGATAAACTTCAATCGGAGTTTTAACAGTTAACTAAGCATTGACCTGTATCAGTGCTTTCACTTGTTTTGCAAATGACAAAAAACATTTACTTTTATTGAAACATTTTCAAAATGTACCATTAGAAACAGTAAATACACCTCTTGGTTTAGTTGCAATTATTAATCTTGATGCTTATATTATATGAGCTAAAGCAGAGGTAATATTGTTACATCATATAAGAAATGAACTGAAGCAAATTGATAGTTTGGTGAATCAATACAGTAATTGGGGGAAGTTTAATCTCCGCGCATTCATCATCGATGGATTTGAGTTAACCAAAGTTGGTTACATTAGTGTTTACGATTGGGTTGTGATTTGAGTAAATCAATGGAAAGGAAAGTTGAATATCGTGGGTAGCTTTTGCATAAGGCTGTCTTAATACTTATATTAGGCGAATAATTCGGTCTCGTTACATCCATCTTTTCTCTCTATAATAGTTTTATAATAAAATATGTCGGTTCATTCGTAGATGGGACCTCATTAAAGATCGTGATCAGTTGCCGTTTGACAGCTTATTTTTCTCCATAGGCAATCATTTGAAAAGCTTGTTTCACCAACTAGGTACTTCCAGTGTCATCAATCGATGTCCTTAAATCCTGATGCTTAGGACAATAAGAGGACTAGACACACTTCACGCAAACTCAGCGAACCACCTTAATTGACGCCAGACTTAGGTATGCTTCCTTAGATTTTTTGTTTTAATGAAGGAAACTCTGAATGAATTGAGTTATTTGTGAGATAAACTATCGCTCTCTTGAATTGATGTTATTAGTGTTTTCGAGTGATGGTTTCTAAAAAATTCAAATTTATCAGAGAAAACCCCAAGATAAATAAATGTTAGCAAAAACTGAGTCTTTTTATGTGAGGAAATTATATACATACATATATATCTACGTATCTATTAAACCCTGATCACTAAGCGTACTTATTGTCTTTCCATAACTTCCAACCTCTCACCTCAATCTGTCATCGGTTTAAGATATGAATTAGAGATCAAACCATGATTTTAAATCCTCAAGTGTATTTGTATATGTTCATTGTTAAGCACGAACCATGTCTCAATAGATGAAGATTTAAGTATATCATAAATATTATGTTGATTTATTAAAGTCAATCGTGTAGTGTACACAAAATGTTCATATGATACCGCTAGATGTATTATACGTTGACTGAACCAAAGGGAAACTGGTTTCTATTAAGTCTGTATATACTGGTGTATTTACGTTAAAAACATTGTTTTTGTACGAAACTTAAATAGTTTTTTGAAAGCAGTATTGGTTAAGCATATGAAAAAGATGTGGATTAAAAAGGCAAGTTAGATTTCTATAAAGTTTAATTGTTTTCACATCCAGACATTTGAAAGCAGCACAAACCTACTTTGGTAGTGTTACATCTACAGCCTTCATAAGTGCTTGTCTAAAACACACTCGTTAGACCTCTCATTCTTCCTGATTCAAGATATATTCGAATAAATTCAAAGTTTTTTGACATTAAATTTTTCATCTATCTTCCATGTTGAAAATACAAGGGTTATGAGTCCTAATTTAATTTCCTTTAGACGTAGAAATTTGATAAATGGTAACAAATTAATTCCAAAACGTATGACTCAGATTTGCAGAATGTGTTGACAAAGAAGTTACTTAGGGTATATGTGAATTTGAAAGTAAATAGTTAAAACATCACTATTACTGCTAATCATATTACTGAAAGGTCAAAAGATACAAGGCAGTCAGTGAGTTAGATATACTGTGATGAGGAAAAAGTTTTTAATAAATTCAGTACACAAGTAGAAATGAAAGCCTATGATTTTAGAGAAAATAAATAATTAGTAAGACAGCAAAGTTGTTATGTCTAAAGTTCAATAATGAAAGAGCAAGACTCAATGAAAGATTCCTATTAAGAACAGCATGAGTATACATTTAATGAAAATACGTTTCTAGGTTTATTTATCGAATCACTATGACTAAATTCGTAAAGAAAGTACTAATTGAACTGTATTTAAAACCATTATTTAATCACAGTAGAATATCTGTTCTTACATACTTATTTTACAGTATTTATCGTCTAGCTATGTGTACAGATTAATTTTTTATTCCTCTAAAAAAGTCTCCACTGATTTAAGTATATTTGCGGACGAATATTGCTGATAACCACTTTGATTACTTAACAACTAGTATCTGGATTACTAGACACTAGGAAAAACTGTAAAAATGTAACTATCCTTTGTCCTATTACGGAAACCTTGTTCCAAACTAAAACATTTTTTATATTGTCAAGAAACTCTACTTATCATTCTTATGTCTTGCTGCAGTTGTTTTCAAAGATCGTTTACACTTTAATCAACTCGCGAAATTGACTTTAAATACAATTTTTAAATACAGTCATTTTACTCGACACTAACTTCAATCTGTTGATGATAAGAATCTAGCTAATCATCAGATTAGAAAATGAATTACTTAAACAATCTAGCGTAACTATACTGTTTAATGAATAAATTAACAGGAGAAATGTAAAGAGGTCAAAAACGCGGTTACACAGAGATCTAAGATATGCAAATAAAACGATCAATTATAACGGTTCCAAACTAGTAGCCCGCAAAGCGTACAGACATTTCGAAGAACCAAAACTCACTCCACAATCTTCCTTGCATAAAAGGTTGGAGAAAATAATCTTCTGCCCACTTTTTGCTTCAAGTGGCCGTTCTTACAACATTATCTAAAAGCCTCCATCAAGTTAGCACAGCATTACGAAATCATTCCGAGAAATCAGGAGGCAAACGGTTCTATCATATGTGAAATATTTTCTAAGGTGCATCCACAAGGATCTTAAATTCTACCAAAATCCGTGTTGCTCGCAAACCAATACAATCACTTTATTTCATTTTATGCAAAATTAAAAACCCAACAACAACGGAAGACAAGCGCAAAATCACCCAAAAATAAATTTCACCAAATTTAATAATCTGTACACTTGGTAAAACAGTCACTCCTTTGATAGATCAGTACATGAACACAAATTTGTAGTGAAAAGTTCTGTCATTACTCATATCAATACATTCGGAAAACTACGAATAGGAATTTGGCTGAATGAACGTCAAAATTCTTTAATTGGGAAAGTCCAAAACTAGTATGCGATTTCCTCAGACCTAGTTTTCTAGTCGATGTGAGAAAATTGGCTTATCTACTTAGACTTACCTCATTAATCTGTATGGAGAGCTACCTATCATGTAGTTCAAAATAAGAGGACAAAAACAGTCATGAAAAATGCATTAACAAACGAGAGTAAAAAAACATATATAAAGACACCAGTTTACGGATAAAGCCAACAGAACAAAATGATTTAGAGGTTGTAGAATGATAAAAGAAACCTCACTTCAAAAATAACGACAAAGAAAGCTTTATGATTAAATTATCTATCTCAGAATTCTTAAAAGCATTAATGTGATACAAAGTGATAGACAGTTACATAAAACTACTGTTCTTATTTTATTTTTGAATTATAGTTTCGACGCCCAAGGGATAATATTCAAGTCACTCATTACCGTTGACTATTTTGAACGTTAAAGTTCAGTAACGAAGCAATAGTACAACAGCGACAGCTAAAGTAAATTACTTGTGTAATCAAACTTTTCACTTAAATTTCACTCATTTTGTACTAACAATTTTCCACTGTACTCAAATACTCATACCTGATACCTCAATACTTGGCTAGCACTATTATAATAAATACGTATTATAGTTGGTAAGTTAATAGTTAAATAAACTATTAACCATAAATCGATAATGTTTTATGATAATTTAGAAATATCTAATGATGAAGCCACTTTTTAATTTGATTAACACAACCAGTCCAACATCCTAACGGGCCACTGTTTATAAGCATATACCTAAACAGCACAATTTTAAATTAAAGGTTACTGCCACACCAGTGGACATAATAAACGTTATAAAGGTTAGTTTTGCAGCATTTACTGAAATTTTTCATAATGTCTAATAAAAACCCGCTTGAAAATACAAGAAAAATAAATTTATAATATTGTACATAAATTATAATCTTCAATACTACTCACCTTTCTGTTCCAGTTAACGGTAAACAGTTGTTCTTGGCATCGTAATTTAAAAATGAGACTGATTTTGGAGTTGATTGCGATTTAAAATTTACAGGATAATTTTCATTTGACAAAGCCATTTTATAGGTACATGATTTAGTAGTGGTCACACGATTCTTCCTACTAGCAGATAAAACACAGTAGGTTAGTACTAAACAAATATCATCTGTTTTCAACTGTCTACATGATAGATCTTGTTGATTAAATGTTAAATTTGGCTCAATAGATGACCATCCATGTCCATATACAAAAAATGGATAATCATTAGCGACATTCAGTACTAGTTTTTTATCCACCTTGAAAATTCAAAAAGAAATAAAGATTTGTTGTGAAAATATTAGTGTTTTAATGCACTTTAACATAGTGTAAAGTATTTGATCAATTTCAGTAAGAACTGATAAACAGAAGGTGCCTTAAAGACATTCATTTCTTTATAATATCCTGTTACCGAGATATGATTTTGTTAATTTTGGAGAGACAATATCAAAAAATCTTAAAATTGATTGTAGAAAGTTATTAAAGGATATTCAAACTATTATTATAAATATTAAGTTAATTTGTTATTCGATCTGTATCATAATTACTTCTTGTACTACTAAAACAGATATATGATTAACTCCTTACTAAAATTCATTCCTTTAATCCATCCTATTTTAGATGCTGACTGTTTTAGAAAAATGTATGATAAACAGCTATGTAAATATTGTTGTCAGACGTACACATTAGAGAAATAACATGATCATACATAGTGCACATAGACGAAATGATGTTATTATTAATAGTTTCATTTAGTTCATCCTTGAATTAATTCACAAGAATATGGAAGCTGGAATTAACTTTGAAAAATTTACGTTTAATCATTCAATAAATAAACTGTGAATAAAAAGTACACAGTTACATATCTAGATTAATGACATTTATTTTGTAGTTTGATGAATCACTTGAGTTAAATGATAAAATAACATGGTTCTTTTCCTTATTCTAACCAATAAAATATAATGTAACTCACCAATAAACTAGGGTTGTGTATAATTGCCTGTGAGTTACATTTATCGTATGAGAACTAGCCGTCGTACCTTGGTATATAAACTGAAGTAAATGGAGTGAGATTTGAATTGCTAACCCAATAGACGATAATCATGTAAGTTATAATGAATGACATCTATATTATGTAAGAAAAGATTAAATAGACTCTGAGGTTAAAGTAATTCCAGTCACATCAACTGAAATTCACTCATACATCTATATATGTCACTACTACAGCTGAACGAAACAGACTGACTTGACCTTATCTGGGGTTTAATCAAATACATCGATTAAAATGAATAGATCTAGACGTTCTATTTAGAAAGAATTACTGATGAACCTCACCGAACTGCGTTAGTTATACTTTATTCAAGGCTTATTACTTTACATTTCTCAGTGTCCTGATTGGAAAATTCAAATAAGCACACCTGTCATCCATTAACACATACTAAAGTTGCAAGAAGTATATATTATTTCTGTATACTGATTAGTGACATATTGTTTTCCGAATACTGTTACACTGTAAAGTCCCGGTTAACTCTATATTTTGTATATTCAGTAAAGTGTACAGACAAAGAGAAAACCTAAATATGTTTTGAACAAATATAGATGATGATGATGATGATGATGATGATGATGATGATGATGATGATGATGATGATGATGATGATGATGATGATGATGATGATGATGATGATGATGATGATGATGATGATGATGATGATGATGATGATGATGATGATGATGATGATGATGATGATGATGATGATGATGATGATGATGATGATGATGATGATGATGATGATGATGATGATGATGATGATGATGATGATGATGATGATGATGATGATGATGATGATGATGATGATGATGATGATGATGATGATGATGATGATGATGATGATGATGATGATGATGATGATGATGATGATGATGATGATGATGATGATGATGATGATGATGATGATGATGATGATGATGATGATGATGATGATGATGATGATGATGATGATGATGATGATGATGATGATGATGATGATGATGATGATGATGATGATGATGATGATGATGATGATGATGATGATGATGATGATGATGATGATGATGATGATGATGATGATGATGATGATGATGATGATGATGATGATGATGATGATGATGATGATGATGATGATGATGATGATGATGATGATGATGATGATGATGATGTGATGAACAAACAGCTCCGCTCATCATAGCATCCGAAAACCTCAGCATATGTTATTATAGATATTAAGTGATTGATAATGATTTTAGTTGTGTAGTATTTTGAATGCCAAAATAAATGAAAATGATATTAGAAGACTACTGTACTGTAAAATGTGTGAAAAACTACCTAAAATGTATCAAGCAAAACTAAGATTAAACTCTTACTTTTTGTAGATTATCTCGATGAAATCTATTTTATTATGTAATATAAGTAACTTGATTATTTATCAAAATTCTATTATATTTATTTATTACATACTAACTATATTTCTTATAAATAATGCTAATATGCCCTTGGGGTAGAATAATGCTTGATTTCATTGAAACGTAATCTGTATACTACCCCATGGGATTTCAGTAAGATGGCTTTTTCGATGGACTTGTAGAAAAAGACTATCTTTTGACAATAAATTTTATTACGTCCACTTTATTCATTTAAACAGAATAAATATATAAGTGGAATAGTATATAACAAGATAGAGGAATGAGAACAACGGTGAGAACAGTAACATTAGCAGAAAAATGTTACAACCTTAAAACTAATAATAATAATAATAATAATAATCAATTGACCTATGGGGCATAAGTCATCAAATAAAATAAAGAAGAAAATAATACAAACAGAAAGACCAACACTTTTCATTTTATTATTTATAAATAATAATAAAAAAATCAAGTAATTGAAAGCGTTGAAGAGATTATCACTTGATAATTGATTTTAGGACATAGAATTAACTCTTAAAGACTTATTGAATGAAAGATTTAATGAGTGAAAGTATACAGTGGGTAGAAAGTTAAACTTGACTGGTACTCGTTAAGTGATTATGGGGAAGATAACAGAAGACAATGAACACGTAATAAAAAAAAGTAGGACGAAAAAATAGGTTGAGTTGAAAATTTAGTTAACTATAATTGTTTGAGCAAAAAATAAATAATAACCAATGTTTTGATCCCTTACTTAACATGCATAAAAATTACTGATTAATACATACACATACAGATGAATGGAAATATGGAAATAAGACTGAGATAAACACAAGTACCCTGTTAAAGTGTCATGTAATATAGAAAGAAATGGTATATGTATGTTGTCGGCATCAGCTGAACATGGTCAATATAGATTTTATTTTTTAATAAATAAATATAACTGCTATATACATTTGAGGAATTAGAAGTCCTGATATCTAAAGAACTAAGTAACTGAAACTGTATTTTTTTTACTGTTATGGGGTACTTATGTAGTCTTTTTCAGCATACATCAGTATCCTTAAGATAATTATTAGAAAAGACAGTGTTTTAAGTATATATCCAGTTCTAATTAAAATAACAATCCACCCTTTTTCTTACATTGCTACAGAATTAAGGAAAATCTGAATACTAGGAGACGTAGACTAGTTAATTCATTAATAGTTTACTAGTGCATATCTGTTCATTTAAGTAACTGGAGTCTCGAATCCATCTTGTTCTAAATTTTGTAAAGTATTTTACGACAACAATTATGCTATATAGTAATTTCTGATATCCATAGATTGATTGAATATCACTTCAAGATTAATGATCTCTCAGGTTTACAAATATGACAAACTAATTATTTAAATAAGTTTATACGCTGAACATCACAAAAAGAACTGAAGACGAATCCATGTTTCTTGATAATGAATTTACAGATATTGTACAATTCGAATGATGTTTAGAACCACAAACTGCTTTTAGCTAAACAACATTCGTAAACCAAACAACACTAGATAGCTGCTTCGTCCTTGTACGTAACACTTTAGTAGTCATTCATCGTCCCGCCAAAAATATTACTCAGGACTGTGTAGAAAATAAAATTCCATGACACTGTTGTTTTCTACTACCTTGCGGTAGTTAATATTAGAAAATGGCATTCCCAAAATAAGCGTTTTATACTACTCGAAATCATTTATCACGACTCATCACCTTAAAAATTATCGGTTTTTATAAAACCCTCTAAACACATTAAATGACTACGTTTTGATTTAAAACAGGTCCCATAAAACTTGGTAAATCACATTTTGCAACTGAAAACGTGATATTCCATATCACGTAGACTGAATAGGATAAAATGTTTGTTTGGAACTGTTTATAAAGATTATTTGTCGAATGTTTGAGTATCTTTAAGTAGTACCTAATTTCAGAGAAATTTTTCAAAATGGTCTAATTTATCAGACGATTCAATAAGAATCAGAAGCTTTTGCACGCAACACATCGACCAAAAATCTCTTAGGACAGTATAAAACCTGGTCAAATCCCATTATATGACTATGACAATTAACTGATTATTATAAAATGAGTTTTAGTCTAATTTATAGAAGGCGGTATTCGAATATTCGACAGTTGAGTAAATATCTATATATTTGTAACTCTAACTACCTAAACAAGATTAATAAATCCTTTCTAACAATACTACTTACTAAATTCCAATCAAAGTAAAAGATATTCATAACGAACTCACAATCATCTACATTAAAAAATTAGTTAACTTGAAAACTTTGCACGGGGCGGGATTGTGTGTGCGCACTGCTGACGAGTCTCATACTAGTATGAAACGGACATCCAGTACTTCCAGGTTTCTCATGGTGGTTTAGCTTTAATCGACCAATGAATTGAATTATCAAATTACCGCAAACTCCACAAAACCCTTCTCTGCTTATAATCATCATATGCTCACTAGTGACTGACTCGAAGAATTATTTCCTGGAATTCTAGTGAGAATCCATGACCAGTGGAGTTCAACCGGATCAGTTGTGAGATAATAACTCACTTAAGACAATGGTCAACACTTTCTCAATTTCGTGGATTAGTTGAAGTTAGACATTAACCCCGTTGGATACTGTCTCAATGGTCTAAAGATTGGACGTTCGCGCGCAAAACTGGTAGATCCTGGTTTCGAATCTCGTGAAGCGGTATCATAGATTTGCACTACTGAGGAATCCCATACTAGAATGAAACATCCGTCCAATACTTTCAGGTTTTTCATGGTGGTCTAACTTTAATTGATTCATGAATTCAATATATATAGTCTCAAAAAAGGGAAAATGTTTCAAGATTATTATTTATTCCTTATTACTAGAGTAACTAAACTATCATTAATTATCATTCGTTGAATCAATATAAATTTTAATAAAACAAAAGCCATATGTATTTTTAATATGAAACTAAAACATCTACACTAAACATGAAAATAAACAACAACAAAATTACATTATTTTTTTCCCATTGTTTATTTATTAATTGAATTTTAAATTAATTTTCTATTATTTACAAAGAAATAAAAAAGTAAATGTACAATTTATAGAACGATTTTGTGTGTGCGTATGTGTGTGTATGTGTTTGTGTATTTGAAAGAACACAAGAATGATGTTACATAATGAATGAATAGAAACCATAATTTTATTTTAATTTAAAGAAAAAACAAACGAATAATCAAGTTGAAAATCTCACATTCATTATCATAGATTATTAGTTTCAATATATTTTTTTGTTATTTTTTTTTATATCCGAGAATAAACTATTAGAATAAAGAAAATAATTTTTGAAATAAGAAAGATGGGGAGGGGAAAGGAAAAATAAAAGAGAAATAACAAAGCTCTTAGTTACACATATACAAATAGAATGGAATTGTTTATTTGTTATTGATCGATTTCATTTATTATTTTTTTTTAAAGTTTTTTTTTTAATTTACTTTTTTCTAACAAAAAAGATTTACAATCTACTTTAATATCCGAATATTTAAGTATTATCTTTAATAAACATTCATAATTATCATAATTTCTATTCATGAATTAGTTCATATTTATTTATTTTTCTTTAATAAACTAACATTGTTTGAATGAGATTACTGATTAGTTAGTTTGTTTTTAAGATTTCACTAACAAGTGAAATATAATAATCTAAGTTCACTGTGAATAGCATTATAAATATAGAGATAGAAATAAGAAGACTTATGAGAACAAACTAATAACTATGAGTTTAGTATTATTATTATTATTATTATAAAGAAGAAGAGACAATGGTTATTGATAAATTCTGTATTCAATAAACTTTCTACTTCATTAGTGTAATATAAAACGATGGGAAAGCATATGAATTTGTAGCTTTGTAACAACTATTCTAGATATAATAAAGAATTAAAATACTAAATAGAATTCCTTTTTATACTTATTAATTAGACGATTGATTAAGATTGTTATTAAAGTTTATAACTGGTTTTTATGTAAATTTTAAATGAATGAAAAAAAGTAGGGAAAAAAAGTGTACAAACAAAATGAATTGTTATGTCATTGTTAGTCATTGAGACTTGATACATAATGACAATGTGAGGATTTGTTTTATTTGAACCATTAGAATACCTACTAGTACACTATTCATTATTAATAGAAATTGGGTTAGTGAAAATGTTTAACTGATAAAATGAAACCTAAAAGTTTATCAAGGTGTTTTAGTGGAGTGTATAATATATATTACAGGCTATTAGCTATTAGATTAGATCTAGAAATCGACCCTATGATTCCGGTGAAAATAAGAAATCTTGATTTATTTCTAAATACTAAAGAACATTAATTTCCATAAAGTCTAATAATGAAATTTATTTTTAGGAATATCTGAACCAACTGACTCATGATTTCAACCTGTGAAATTTCTAAAATTCTCCACAAAACCCATTCTGATAATAATCATCTACTCACTAGTGACTGACTTCAGGAAAAACTCCTGGAGTTCTAGTGAGAAGCCGTTACCAGTGGAGTTCAACCGGTATGTTGTGAGATAACAACTCACTGAAGACAATGGTGTACGGTGGCGCAACTTCGTGGATTGGTTGAAGTTAGACATTAACACCGTTGGATGCCGGCTCAGTGGTCTAATGGTTAAGTGCTCGCGCGCGAAGCCAGTAGGTCCTGGACTCGAGCCCCGCGTGGTGTTGGATCGTGGATGCGCACTGCTGAGGAGTCCCATACCAGGGCGAAACGGCCGTCCAGTGCTTCCAGGTTTTCAATGGTTGTCTAGCTTCAACTGACTAATGATTTCAACCTGTGAAATATCTGATTTGTTTCATTAGAGCGCCAAATTAACTTATTATTGTATTAAAACAAGCGATTAACAGAAATTGTCCAGTTTTAAGACATTTTTCTTCATAAACCAAATTTTGATGTTGATTTCAATATTGGAACAATCCTATATGATTTTTATTGCCACTTCAGTTGATGTCTGTTCGTGATATAGATTTATATAAAAATGATTTATTATGTAAAGCTTTCCCTTGTACCTTAGTATTTTATAGATGAAAGGCACTTATCAGAATTATTGAATTCCGAAAGTTCTGAACCTGAAGTTACAAGTAACTTGGTTGATGAATTTACTCTTTTTAACTTTCTTCATAGAACATTTGAGTTTGTATTTACTATCAGTTTTGATTTCTCGACTGAACAACTGAGTTTATTTTAGTAAAGTCAAGATAGATCAATTAATCAGTAGTTTAAATTTCGGAGATTTCAGCAACATTGAGAATTTAAGGTCATACAGTATAACTGAGTGAAGTATGAGAATCATTACCATGTGAATGGTCCTTGAACAACAGATGATTTTTTTTCTGAGGAATACTAGAAAAGAAATCTTAATATTTTTTCACAAGTGACAGGCTTTATTGTCATTATGAACGGACTTCATTTGATGTCTTCCAGTAGACGTAATTTTAATTCATATACTATTTGTATAAATATTACTCACAATATAAAACATTTCATAGAAAGGGATTTTTTAAACTAACAACCCAGACTGTTTCGCGTCCGCGACTCAAATTTTTCAAGTTGAATTATATATTTCCAGATTATTTCAGAAAAGTGTTATACATCGGTTTGTGAAAACATAGTTTCATGTATCACTAACGTATATCCATTTTATAAATACTTTAAAAATTATGAAACAACTTCGTAGTTGACCAAAATTTAAAAAACGAATTGGTTTGTTTATTACCTCCATACGGATGTATATAGAGATTAAAAGAGTACTTTTTGACAACTCGAAAATCAGGTTGGTGGTAATACAGCCCACTCGTGCTGATAGTTGTGGCATCTGGCGTAAGACATTGAATCAGTTGATAATTTATAGAAGTTAAAATTGTTGTTTGAATAAGACAGTGTTAGTAACATATAAACATAATTAAAGTCACTGAGATCACTAACTAATCTAAGTTAAACATCGATTGACAACCATAAATTATTAGACAGTTATTTGATTCTAGTATTGGCCTATTCAAATATATATATCCACGATACTGAAGTCGGCAATTAACACCGGAATTTTCAATTTCATGTCCAAACTCCTAATCTTCAAAATATTGACTAGCAGTTCAGTGGTACATGTCTATTATCTGTTATTTAAATTCACTTGAAGGAATGAGACTTGAGAATGGATATTACTTGGATGATGAAAAGGTTATTTACATTTCATTTACTGATGTTATTAATTGAAAGTTCAAGATAATAAGTCTTTCATCTTTTAAAAAGATAATTTAGTTTAACCTTTAATTCATCCTCATACCAATAGTTTCAATGACTGATAAAATTATTTGATATTCTATTCTGATTTACAATTGCTTGATTGAAATTTCGGCTTTTAGATTATTTAACTTTCTACAGAAACTTTAAATATCTACTGACTGTATAATTTCATCATTTACTGTATAGCAATTTACTTTCCTGTTGTGTAGTTGTATAAACTCATGATTATGAAATCATTACTGACTGTGAGTAATAGATTTTGTCTTTGCCTTATTCATTCACTTAGATGTATTAATGATGGAATATTGTTCTCTGAGCTGGATGATTTGGTTGTGGTTCAGTTTAGAGAACAAAACTTCATCAAAATCATCCACCTGAGCTACAAAACTTGTTCACCATCTCAAGATACATTAATGATTAGAATATTAAGTTTAAAAGAAAAACAAGTCAAATATAAAACTATGAACCATAGCGTAACTCACATTAAAACTTTTAGCATTGAAATGAGGCCATAACATACGTGAAGCTTGTTTACTACAATTTTTTTCATTTTTACCAACTAATAATTGATGACGTTTTGAAGATTGAATAAATGTTAATTCACTTGATAAACTGATATTATTATTAGTTAAATCATTTTTAATTTGAATTAATTTTACCCAACATATTTCTAAATTATTTGTACTTGCTAAAGCTTCAATTAATGTACCATTATCATATGTAGATTTATTAAAACTATCATATTTTATAGCGCTAGATATAAAATCAGAAACTGATAAATCTTCTCTCATTTTAATCTCTCCATTAATAAGACGTACACATTTGTTTAAATTACATTCATTATTTAGTTTCCAGTGGTCAGTATTTCCTGAATTGATCAGATTTATTGGTTTATCTGCATTGAATGGTATTGGTGAATCGGATAAATGTGTATTACTTTTGTTATTCAGTAAGTTATCCCATTTACTAGCTTCATTATATAGTATACGATCAACTGTACACATTTTGTCAAGTTGAACTGAGCATTTTTTATCATTATTGTAATTTAATTCCTTGCAATTTTCTCTCATCATTCTACTATCCATTAAAGAATTGAAAAAAGGAAAAACAGTTGGAGTTATTGATGAAGACGGTGAATAATTCAATTCCTCTTGATATCTATCTCTATTTGTTTTACAACTTTTACTGTATACATCATTCAGTTTAATATCACAACTTAAAGACTTATTATCATCCCATAATTTAGAAAATGTTACATTTGGTGGACCACGAATTTTACTGTGGTTTGTAGGTATTATTCCTGGAGTTGGTGTACAATTTCTAGTTTGCTCCTGATCATTGTATATCTTATTGTATAAATATGAATGACGCTTTGTCTGATTTTGAATGTTTGCCGAATCACGACAGTTGTTTAAATTATGTAAGACAGATTTGTGACCATCATTACTGAAATGTGATGTTGATGATTCAGATAATAAATTTGTCAAAGTTTTGTAAATACAATTAGTCTCTGTCAGCTCTTGTGGATTTTCATAAACTAATTCATTTAAACGATTCAGCCATAACAATAATAATGATGATGATGTTATTGGTGATTGTGTTGTTGCGACAGATGTTGAAGATGATGCTAATGGTGATGAAAATGATCTTAATATGTCAAAATGATTCGGTTGTGTATTGTTATTCTTCAAGTGAGAATATAATGCGTGATCATGTTGATTTAACAAATAACTAAACTTCGTATCATCTCTTGCGTAATTGTTTGAGTTTGGTACTAAATTTGTCAAAGATCTCTCAGTGATTTGTTGTTTTTGTTTTACTGTTACATCAACTGAATTATCCATAGAGATAGTTCCGTTATCGATGGTGTACGGAAATAACTCTTTACAATTTGGCATGAATTTATTTCGACAAGAAGAAGAATGCACATTTGTTGATGAAAAAGAATTCAATGTTTGATTGTTCTGTAAAAAGGTTAGAAAATTTGTAAAGTCACAATCAAACCGAAATTGTGAATTAGAATTTGAACTGTTGAAAACTGATTCAATTGGATTGTATAATGTATGTTGATTCATTGCCTTTCCAGAAAAAAATGACAGTAAACTGCTAACTGTATTTATTGAGATTTTTTCTTAGATGTTGACTTCTAATAATAACTATGTACACCTACTGTATTTTTCGTCCTGTTACTAAACTGAAATAAATTAGAAATTAATTTTCGATAAATTGTATGGCTCAAAAAATGTATATAATCTTCAATAAATACTTAAATGAAAATGATCTCAACCAAAAACGTAATAATCTCCACAACTCCATACAGATAATTACCATATGCCAACTAGTAAATAGCTTCGTGAGAGGATTCTTGGAGATTTAGTGAGAAGCCATGACTAGCGGAACCAATCCGTGTCGGGTAGAGACAGGTATCTACTTCAGTACAATGGAAGATGGTCGAGCAATTTCGTGGATTGGTTGAGGTTAGACATTAACACCGTTTGATGCCGGCTAGACTAGTGGTCTAGAGGCTAAGCGTTCGCGCGCAAAACCGAAGGCCCTGTGTTGGAATCCTGCTAGTGGGATCGTGGATGCGCACTGCTGAGGAGTCCCACAATAGGACGAACCGGCTGTTCAGTGCTTCCAGGTTCTCAATTGTGGTCTAGCATCAATGGATTCATGATCTCAATCAAAAACTCAATAATCTCCATAACCCCATACTAAAAAGAAAAGTTTGAAGAACCGCGTCATTCGAAAACTTTTCTCAAATTATTTATAATTGATAACCATTTTTATTTCCGACTTTTCACTTGTTCAAATCTAAATGTTTAATTTGAACAATGACAGTCGAAGAAATTTCACTTCGTTTGCTAAATAAAAATCATTAAATGAAACATTAAAGTACTTTTAAAATGATGTTACAATTAATTACCATTAGTGTTTAATTATTCTTACGTTGATTAGATATATCTACAGTTTTCTAATAATATTTTATCATTATAAATCCACTTCTTGAAACATGCTGATGATTTAATTTACATTAATTCAATAGATTTAGAATAAGAAGAAATTCAAACAATTATCAAAGTGTAATCTGTTTTTATTATATATTATAGTTACAATGTTCTCAAGTTTACGAAGATACTGTTTATTTTATTTGTTTGAACACATAAATATTGGTACAAAGAGAAACCGAATACATATGTGCTACACAAGTTACTAGATTTGTGTATGGTCTTTGATACTGCTCGGGTGCACAAACCGGAGCAAGTGTTTCTCTTAGGGGGTCACACCACTACACTTCGTCCTAAAGGTCTAATCCACAAGGCGGTGAAGCAACGTTAGGAGACGGAGTCTCATGGGAGCCGGTGATCTACAATAGGTTAATACGCCATTTGTTCCTTCAGGATCCTGGAGCACGTGTAAACCATCGGTTTGGAATCAGGGTTTTCCAACTGCTCTAGGTCGATGGCCGTGTCCATAAACCCGAGTAAAACGCCTGATATTCGCTTTTCGTATTCTCAATTTCGTAAACAACACCCCCGTCACGAGGTGGTGAGTAGGACTTCTCTGGCACTGGCTGTATATGCGTGGCCATGTGAGAACATTTTAAGAAGGAGAGCTGACTCTCACCACACTCGGCCGTACCAAGGCATTTGGAGGGGCGAAGGTACTGAGGTTTTATAATGTGTATTGCTTTGAATATAACAAAAATGTTTCAATTAAAATACATATCTTTCAAAAAATGAACAATTCGCACAAATATTCACATATTTATCCTTGCCAAACTGTTAGTATGATTAGAAAACACAACTTATTTGCATAATTGGACAAATGACAGAAACACAAAAATGAAAAGGTATCAGACAATGATTTCATTCTTGTCTGTATAAAGAAAAATAAACAGAATCATTTGTGAATGGTAAAAGTTATAGTTACTTTCTAAAATACAAGATGAATATTAAATTTACTTAGATAAATATATTTAACGGTAGGTAATATGAGGAAAAAATCTAACATCTTTTTTGTTGGTTGCAATACAAAATTTTGTCTTATTTATACACTTCAATACACTAATATCATTTTACAATTTCTGTCAATGCTTTTGTTAATTTGACCAATATTTAACCAATTACACAATTTTGTAAATAAAATTCCTATCTTCCATGTAAATAGTGAATCAAATGTTATTCATTCTAAACAGACATACAATCGAACTTCCTATTTGTGTTTATTTTCCAGCGTACTATTTAAGTAGTGCAGACTTGTTTTTATTTAGTTTGATTCTGCACATAGAAAAATATATGTATATGTAAAAGACAAAGGGATACATTTATGCCCAATTTTAATGAGTGCGTGCTATAACCGTAGCCAGAACAGATAGTGTTATATTTAGTTTTGCACTCAAATATGGATAAAAAAAGCAGGTGAATATGGTTTTCTTCGAAATGAATTGTTACATAAACAAAACTTATATAAATAATTCACTCCTATTCACTGCTTATAAAGTTATAATCAAAATCTTCTACACTTCCTAAATGTAGGACAAAACAACTTGTGAATAATTACTATAATAATATGTAATCATCTTAAGCACTCATGATGCACTATCTAGTTGTCACATAACATTTGACAGTAATGTTACCAATAATACATTGATGAAATTTACGCTTTTACAAAACTATTACAGCTTCAGAGAATAATTCATTATTAAAGATAATGACGATATCAGTATGGGAATAACCAATTAACTTAGGAAAGTTGTTTAGAAAACTATGATTACTAAGATAAATTTAATCATTCTGATTTAGTAAGTATTGCTCACAAACTCTACTTAGTTTTCTTAGCTCAAACACGTTTGCTTGCATTGAAGTTCAGAGTTTATAACATTAACCAGCGATTAAAGGCCAACCAGATTTAATCGGTCTGGGCTTTGAACTATTCTTTTAGTCTGGTCATCAGGATTGATATAACAAAAAGAACATTCTACTCTGAAGCATCGGATACTGATTCATTCACTTAATGTAACAGTGTAAATTGATTTCTATCCTCTAAACAAATCCAGTTTATTTAAACAGATACCTAATGGAATAAGATACATACATAGTTAGATGATAATTTGTTAATCAAATCATCTTATTCTCAATAATATAATTTGAGGCTAAATCACAACATCGTTCAGTTCTTAATAAATCAGAACACCCGAAGAATCTATAGCAGATGACTACTAGTCTAAAATCCGATAATACGAGCTACCTATTTTCCGGTATATTTCCAAGGCGTAAAATATTCACTTTAGATCAAATGGGAAAAAATTGTAACTAAGCAATTTTCTCTTTTCAAGTATTTTTACCGTGGATTGATCTAAACTGATGTAACATTGATAAGTAGGGAGCACTGGACAGGTGTTTCGTCCTAGAATGAGATTCGCCCGCAGTAAAAGCAAAGGACCCTCTTAGAGAACGAACACACCATCTCCACTTATTGCGGCTAAATTTCAGTGGTACTTGAACCAATATCTGCTCCTGACAAAGACTTCTGCAAATAAAAATAATCTCCACAAACCACTTTTACCTAAAAAAAGTCCCTTGAGAACTTAACGGACAAAGTATTTCTATATGATGGTGACATAATACAACTGATAACGATCTTTTCCCAGAAATAACGAATACTCTAACCAGTGTTGTTTCAAGATGAGTGACTTATAAACTATTGGTTAACTTGTTCAAAATGGTTATTCATGTCAAACAGACATAAACATCTGTGAAAATACCTGTAATGAAAGTTCACGGTTAACTAGCAAATGTACTTATCGAATATGTAATGAAATTAAGATTAAAGAGGAAGAATGTATTTGTAAAATCTCAGCGAATGAATTAAGATTTCATACATAATTGGTGAATATCATATAACTGTTATTTGTCGAAACTATCCTTGATCATATTATTAAGTGACTTAACATAAATAATCGTTTGACTAAAGCTCCGGTTTGGTGGTTATCTGATATTATTAATTAAAAGCTCCTGGGAAATGTATTTTAATATTATGTGTCACTCAGATTCCTTTTTAATTTTCCTTAAAATGACAAGTTTATGTTGACTTAATTTGGAAATAACGTCTCTTGAATAGGTGTTATCTTAAAGTGTTTCATCGTCATCACACTATATGGGATTGGTTATCTTTTAGTTTAAGTTGCTTTTTGACCCGTACGAAAATAAAATAGTGAAGGATATGACAAAATGGATAAATAACTCGGCTGACCATAAAAGGTAAGATGCAACCTCAGTAACGCAATGTTAATATATCTTTCTGTGTTGTTGATTAATGCTAGTGCAAAACCTATTGGACCTCAGATACTTTTATAAAAAGTATTCATCTATTTGTCACAAACGGCAAACCATAAGCATATTTTTTAAAATGAAAATTTCTAGTTCTCTATGACAGTTTCTGAAGAGGAAATTCGGTCATGGCTATCAGTGAAACATAAAACTATAGTTTGATTCACTGTTCCAATGTACTAAATTATTCAAGATTTATTTGACGATTCATCTTTCCAAATTTCGTGCAAATGCCATTTTAGACATTCGATTACTTGGTGTCACCAAAGGCCTTTAAAACAGGCTAGATTATTTCATCAAGCAGTTTTAAACGTGAATTCAATTGATAATAGTTTATCTTTGTTATATCAAATCTAATAGTAATCTTTGCTAATTTATATTTGTACTATATACTTCCATCAATCCCATCTTCAAAAGTAATACTGCAAGCATTAAAACACTCAGTTAATATTCAGAGTTACTTGTATTTATCAGGGGATATTTTTCGACATAGGGTGGTAATACAGTTTTTCCACAATGTATCTAGGTAATATGCACCGTATTTATCCAGCCTACCGAGAATGAGACATATTGTTGCAACCATAATAACATTCATAGGTGGGGAACAAATGAACTGGTAATCTTACTGTATATTTTGAACAAGAAAATTTGACTAGAGTTTAGGATTTATGAATTCTATTAATTATAATTCAGTAAACGTTTATTTGTCAAAAGCATTGGTGTATTTTAAGTTTTCTATCTCA